CAGGACTATACCATAATTTTCTGAAGATTTATGTGCTTAAAAACAAGAGTCCTACTATGTCCTGATCCCTGCTCAAATTTAGTCCAAATCAAAGACAACTATTGGCTATTTTTTTTTGTCTAAAAGCCTATTTTCTTCTATCAGTTGCATACTTAAGCCCATTATACTAGCCAATTTTTATTAACCCCAGAAAATTCAGGCATATCACTATGTAGTCAAATATCAAGTGCAGTTTTGTGAGATTGTGATGTTGTACACATAATAATTTCTTCCTATGTCCTACATCTTTCACATGTAAGATTTAAAGTCAAGATGCCATGATGGTCTTAATGTGGTTAATGCTAGTAATTTGGACCTTGTCCTTGCAAATGAAAATACTTGGTCCATTGATAAGTCTGATTTATTTACTTAGAGTTTTAAAACGGTATTCCTTAGTGTGTAACTGGGAAAATCTCCTTCTTGGGTTTTCACTTCTTCAAGCAGGCGATTCTGCTGTTTTAAGTTCTCATCTTTCTTCCTTGGTGGTCCAGAGTACAGACTTCAAATCCAATTCACAGCCCTAGTCAGTACCTCTGTCTCAATTCTTCACTTAAATGTTTTTTCTTTTTTGTAGGCGATGATGTCCTTGAAGGGAGATGTTAAATTTTATTCATTTACTTTTGTTTCAGAACACATATCACAGGATGATCCTGTAGTTGGAAGTTGAGTAGATAGAAATGCACATACATACAGAAATAATTTTATCAGAAGTCTATTTCCATGTGGAATATTTACAAGTCATTGTCTTTTGGCAGGATGGTATTAAGATTTTGAGCCCAGTCAGAATTATGCTGTTATTTGAGCCACAAAACAGTAAAATTATGCTGGAAACAGGTCAACATTTCTCCCTTCTGCCCATCCTTTTTCTACCTCGCAGAAGCGCATGCTCCTCAAATTGTCTGCTTGTCAACAGGCTGCTCTCACATGCATGATGTGTTAGTGGACCACTGGGCTGAGGCAATGACGAACTGTTTGTGTTCACAGAGTGAGATCTTAGAATATTCACTCTGCTGAATTTGAAGAAAGACAAAGTTCAAAATGAATGGTACAGAATAAGAATTAAACTGTCACTTATTTATCTAGTAAGATCTGGATATGGTGCTGGTCTCATTGCACGCATTATCTTAATCATAAATTAGTACCACCATCCTTTTTCGTGCATTTGAAGAGACTCATGGGGTAGTTTAATTTGCAGTCATGCCTAAGATGATCATTTCCTACAGGCTGGGAACCAGACGTGGCAAGAGAATGTTGTATGTACTTGATGTCTACATTCCCCCAGGCCTCAGGTACTCGGTGAGGGCCTCTACAGGTAGATCTCTGCTGACAGTATAGTGAGTTTAAAGGAGGGAAGAAAGATCCTGAGGAGCACTCCTTAGGAGCACTGGACTCCCCTTTGCTTAGGCCCCTAGCTTGCCTATTTTCTTTCATAGCTCTCCAGTCCTCTTTGTACAGAGTCTGTGGTCCTATCAAAGCTGTCTGACCCACCGTTTTTTCTGTCAACTCACTGCACCCCATGTTCCCAGCCCGGGGGCTGCTCACAGTGGGAGACTTCAGTACTTGCTCCTTTGCCTTAATAAGAGTTGTTGATTCTGCTCAGAACTCTCCTCTCATCTCTCCTGTGTCACCTATCAAAATCTTTTTCATCTTTTCTCTCCCAGCCATGCATTTTTTTTTTTCTCAAGACAGGCACTGTTGCTGCCTAGGGCCAGAATATCCTCTGTGTATCTCCAACACAGACCCGTGTTCCTCCTTTTCAGAGTACCTCAATCACCATGCGGCTATACACTCACCGCTGGATGGAATGGCTGATATTTGTCTTTCTCTTTAAGCGCTAAACTCCGTGATGACAGTGACAAGACCTTACATGGTATCCCATCACAGACACATGCTGAGAAGATTCCCCTCATCCTCTCTGAAGCCCAATGCCCCTCCTGCCGTGTGAGGTTAGTCTAAGACAGCTGCTAAGTCAACGTTGGTGTGACTCGCTTTCAGAGAATTCTCTCAGTTCAGAAGCACACACACTTTAGCACGAAGGAAGAGAAGAATGATACCGCAGGTTCTTACAGTCTTCACTTGTGTGCAAGGCTGGAGCTTTAGGCTGCACACTGTTTTAACAGCTTTCACAGTGTGGTCTGCCCATCTAACCAGAAGCTCAAGTTCATAGTAAATTTGGCTATGATATTGGTGATGTGTTGGGCAGTAGTACAAACTGTGGCTTTAAAAGTATATTGCCTAATCTAAAGCCTGATTCCAACAGAAATTAACTCTGATAATTTAGTGTGTGTTTCTTAAGATGCCTCCAACAGGGATTTTGCAATCTGTCAAAAGGGCCAAAATATGTAGTGTAATTTTGCTAATAGGGGATATACATAAATAGAAATTACATATAAGCAAAACAAAGGGTTTAGAACATTTTCTGACATATTGTCCATTCTCCATAAATGCTTTCAATAATTTTATTACTTTTTAAAAAATCTTATTAGGGTTTAGAACTTGCTGTACCTTTTCAAGTGCCGACACCTGAAACCACTTCCGGAGTGTTCTCTTGTTTTTTTTTTTTTTTTTTGTGTGTGTGTGTTTTTGGTAACTCTGGCTTCTTTCTCCCTTTTGAGCTAAATATGTTTACCCCTGATTGCACTTAACCTGCCACTTTCTTATTTTATTTTTTATCTCTGTGATTCCCAACCCAAAGGCTCATTTCTGAACTGGTGAGAAATAGTCTTAATCACCTCAAAACTATGCTTCAGCTGTGTCCCAAGAAAAAGTACAGATTTAATCAAAAGAAGCAGTGCTGGGGGGTTAGAGAGAGTCGAGAAAAGTGGCTTTACCTGTAGGAGAAACGCTGCACTCCTCTATCATAAGTCTGGCTGCAGTTCTAGTATGAGTTTTTGAATCAACTATCTCTTCCCCTTTTCATTTCCTCATGAACTCTTTGGCCTAAAAGCTGGGATCATGCAAACAAGAATCCCAATGAAACAACTCGCCACCGTGGGCTTCCAGGAGACTCTAACAGCAGAGCTAATGTCATTGAAGACATTTGAAAATGCCATAAAGATATAGAAAACTAATACTGTAGACGCTCCCCGAGATCTCTCTATATACATATATAAATATTTAAATGGAATCCCCCTAAAACAGGGGAGGCAAGGCCTCAGTACCCGGCACCTCTTTTGATATTGCTAATCCTCTCAAAATTACAGACTACTGCCATTGATCTTGGCTGTTCTCCATCTCCTTGATGGTAAGTTTCTATTGCTGAAGACACCGCATACTTGAGTCATGCGATGTGGGTAAATCAAGCTAGTATTCATCTGGAAGCTTCTTCCCCACGAGTGTTTTGATTGTAAAGTTAATTAAAAATAAATCTGGTAAAAATTTTTTACAGTTCATTCGTTCACTTGCCAAACGTATTGAGGTCTGGATATTCTAGGTGCTGCTGGACACTTGAAATTTATTGTGTTTTATGTAGATATTTTATGGGTAGATTTATTTTGTGACGTTCCTTCTATTTACTTTGAGTATATTATGCATGTCTTCCTCTAACTGTTTAAGAAGAATTATATAAAGGTGTAAACATTTGTTTTGGTTTCAACGTAGGTATTTAGAGGTAAAAAGTGATCCTCTATTGCTGGCTTACCTGTGCCTGCAAAACTTTGAAATGTTGTGTTTTTATTATGATTACTTGAAATATTTTAGGGATTCCTGTGATTTCTTCTTTTTATCCAAGTAGCTTTTAGAAGTATTTTAATTTAAATAATTACACAGGTACATATGCTTATTATGTAACACCCTGTTTCCTTCATCTTCGCTAAGTATAATCTGTGAGTATCAAGGAATCCTGGGTGTTACAGAAGGGATATGTTCACCATGTGTACAGCTGGCTCTGGGTCAAAAGTTCACAGGGAATTCCCTCACACATCGCTGGGGATTTCTGTAGGAATTGTGTGCTTCTCTTTGGTACTCTGCCCTGCAAACTCCATGAAGTACATTAGCAGCCTCTAACTCTGATCTTACTGTATGAACATAGTATGCTGTGGTTCTCTCCTTGAATTCCAGCTGCATGTGACAGCTGACTACCTTGAAAGTTCCCCAAGGCAGGGAGTTAGGAAAATACATTTTTCCAATTATTATAATTCTGTCCTGATACCCTGCTCCCATTTTCCTCCAAACTTTCGTTCATTTTCCTCTGACTTCATGTTTGTTTTATCTTGGTAGAGAGATAGAGTGTGGTCTTAAACATCAATAGAATAAGAAAGTGGTTTTGGAAGTTGGGTTTAAAATGAACGTTTTTTTTTTTTTTTGGTATAAGGCAACACATTTAGTTTATTTTCACAGAGCTGTGTTTGTTTTTAACTTTTCATGTCTAATCATAATTTCTTCAGGTTTGTGAACTTGGAAGGGAAAATACTGAGCCATTTGCCCATTTAGAAGCTCTCATCACCGAGCAATGGGAGTGCATCTGTGATTACCACCTAAAAGCTTTCTAACAAGACCTCAGCAGGGCTTTCACTTGAGGATGTTTACAGGTGATGCAGAGCGCTGGTGTGGGATGACTATTTTGACCTCCTAGCAACTATGAGTGCTTCTCTAATTGGTTTACTATCATCTCACCTGTTGTGGGGCTCTGCCTGGGCAACCCGGGCGAATTACTATTCATCTAGACAGGGAGCTGAAGGCAGATCAAAGAAAGGTTTCTCTAAGGTCTAGCTTGGCAAACCAGTGGGTGTAATTGGGGTTCCTCACCATGGCCTGGTCTAAAGTAACCTACAGAAGTGTGGGCAACATCGTAGGAGATTTGTACCCACCATAGTTGAAGAAGGATGCTTAAAAGAAATCCCACATTAGCTCAGAATTGATTTATAATAGAGGTTATTTATTTAGGGGTAGACTCACAGGTCACAATCCTCTGCTGGAACAGGGAACAGCAACCAAATCCCGCAGCCAGAGAAGAGGCTGGATGTTGCTTTACATCGGCATGTATGGTATAAGAGGCCATGCCCTAATGGGCAGGTAACTTAAAGTCTACTGGTGTACATTGCAACCTACAGCACATAGCAACCTCTTTTATCCTAGGGTGGGGATGGGACACATGCAACCATCTTATGCTGTACTGCCTTGTAAGCCCTCCACACCTCTTTATGGGAATGGTTAGGAATCTCAGGCAGAATTACGTGAAAAATTAAATGACACCAAGGAAGGCGAAATTTTGTGAAAAAATGTGAATATTTAATGATGAAATTGCAGATGGAGTTGGCTGGGAGATCTTTTCACAGAAAGATTACGTGACATTTGTCAGTTAGTAGCCTAAAAGTTGCAGTTTATGCCCTATGGTAGTTTTTTTTTTTTAAGGTTCTCTGAGAAACAGTAGGGTGTTGTCTAGTGTGACATCCTGTCTCTTTTATGTTTGGTGCATAAGCTGCTGTTGCTTCCCCTCTTTTTATCGTTTTTGAGCCCCCATCCTCACATCAACTATTGCCTCTTCATGTACAAGACTGTCCATGATATCCGAGCTTCTGGGAACTGGATGGGCTCATACTCGATATCCTAAAAAGGCTATAGGTCCACATGGACTTCTTTGCCAAGATCATAAGTGAACAAAATGCAGTAGATTATGAAGAGCTTTGATGAACACACTCACAACCTAGTTGGTTAAACATAGTTCCTTGGAACTAAGTATCTTCAAAGACAATTCTGTATTTTACTGTTTGAAGACAGATATGTGCAACCCCTGCCATGTCTCCAGAGACCTGTCAAATAAATGGAGGGACTTAGCAGTCTTATCAAAGGAAACCATTGTCTTAGAAAATAACTGAGATGGTTGAATTTATTTTTGTCTTCAAGAGAGACTCTAAGTAGGCACAAACTCCAGAACATAGTTTTCTAGTCCCAAGCAGAGAAAGAAACATATGCGTGGACCAGACACCTGTCTTTATTTGGAAAACACAGACTAAGTAATGAAATAAGCACTGATTTTTTTAAAAAAATAATAATTTAATTAATAAATTTACTTATTTGTTATTTTTTATTCAGAATCTCACTTAATGTGGTCTTTTATTTTCTGCAGGAATAAGCCAGCCTCCCAGGGACTGACACTTGCTGTCCACTGGGCAATGAGAGTATTGCTCTCCATCCCCTCTTCCCACTAACTGGAGCTCAGTAACAGGGAGCAGAAATGGATCTTAAAGCTGTGCATGGCATCAGCATCTCTAGATGCTTCTCCATTTAGAAGCTTCTCCATTCAAGGCTAAGCAGTTTCACCTTGCACTTTTGGGTTTATTTCATCAAAGTATTGAATCTGTTTTTGTGTAAAATACGTAGCTCTACTCCTTTCAATCTATTTGTTCGTTGGCTAGTCTTTATTAAATGATCTATCAAACTGGTGGGACTTTTCTTTGAGGATTTTGTACACAAACATACTACATCTTCATCATCTCCACCCTCCCAGTCCTCTTTCACCTTCTCCAGTGTTTCCGTCATAGCTCTCTCTTAAATCCATATCCTCCTCCTTTTCTAGTTATTACTGTTTTGTAATATGCACATATATACATGTTTATATATAAAAACCCACAACTAGACATCTTTATTTTATGACATATTTTCCATATGTCAGAGTCTCTGCTAAGACTTTCCAGCACGTTACATGATTTCTCTGTTAGCTCCATATCTGCAGCACAATTTTTATACTCACTGCTCAAAATTTCTAAATATTCGCAGTATTATCATATTGGGCTCGAAAATTCTTTATTATGAGTCCTGTACTGCACTGTGTAGGGTATTTCGCATTCTCTTTGACTGCTATCAGCTAGAAATCAGTAGCGTCAACCCTAATCCTCACCCTAGTTATGGCAAAAATAAAAACAACAACCATTCTCGCATCCTTCTCAAATATCCCTTGGCATCTACAGCTCACCGTTGTTTCAGCCTCGTATTGAATTTTCTGTGTCAGCCAGGAGAAGTCCATACTCGTTTTCCCCGTTCTCCCCCAAGTGTTTTTGTTATTTTCATGAATTCATGATTCTATGTGTGGTTCGTAGTCATTAAGAAAATCTATATAATTTATCTGTAAACTTAGGAGAACGGAATTTTAAAGTGCCGATTGTATAGCAGTATATTTGCATTGGAGATTAACATCTAGCCCTGCAGGTGGTTAGAAGTTTACTGTGAAGTTTGTTGATGTTGTTGTATAGTCCACATCATTATTCTCTGGGTTAGACACAAAACTGACTTGCATGTTCCCCTTGAGGCTCAGATGCCAACTGATCCTCTTGACTTGGATATGAGGCTCTTTCTTCTGCTATCCACCTTGTTTCCAGGCCTAAAATTTGGAAAACATGATAAGGAGAAATAAAATATAGAATTAGGCTTTGGCTACATTTACAATGGAATTTTTGTTTTTACAAATGTAAGGGAAGACTTCTTGTTCTCTACAGTTTTTAGTTTTTGACTTTGTTGCTTTATCTCCTGGCCCAGAAATCTTACACATTCCTTTTAAGTGTTTCCCAGCTTGATTTTGTGAGCTCAAGAAATGTGTACTTTGAGTCTATGTGAACGTGAGCTCACAGTTTGTGATGTTTGGGCGGTGGTCAGAGGCTCTAGCATCTCATTCATTTTAAGGGGTCTTAACAGTGTGCTGAAGGGATCAGCAATGTGTTACCAAGGTAAATAGTATGGCTGTGCTCTGGAGATCACTTTGTCTGTAAACAGTGAAGTTTGCTCTTTCTTCTTCCTCTCTGTGTGAGGGACAGAAAAATGCTGGGATAGAAAGTCCGTGCCCCAGGAGACCACTTCCTAAATAGAACCCCAGCAGCACAGACACAGAGAGAAACAATTAATAAATGGGACCTCCTGAAACTGAAAAGCTTCTGTAAAGCAAAGGATACGGTCAACAAGACAAAATGACAGCCTTTTCATTGACATTCATTTGACAACAAGATCAAAGACAAAGGTCTGATTTCCAAAATATACAAAGAACTCAAGAAATTGGTCACCAAAAGAACACAAATCCAGTAAACAAAGGAGTACAGACCTAAACAGAGAACTCTCAACAGAGGAATCTAAAATGACTGAAAGACACTTAAGGAAATGTTCAACATCCTCAGTCATCAGAGAAATGCAAATCAAAACAACTCTGAGAGTCCATCTTACACCTGTAAGAATGGCCAAGATCAAAAACACTGATGACAACTTATGCTGGAGAGGTTGTGGGGAAAAGGGAATCCTTCTGCATTGCTGGTACAGCCCTTTTGGATGTCAGTGTGGCAATTTCTCAGAAAATTAGGAAACCACGTTTCTCAACACCAAGTAATACCACTTTTGGGTATAATATCCAAAGGATGCTCAATTTTGCCACAAGGACATGTGCTCAGTTATGTTCATAGCAGCATTGTTTGTCATAGCCAGAACCTAGAAACAGCCTAAATGCCCCTCAATCAAAGAATGGATAAGGAAAATGTGGTACATTTACACAATGGAGTATTACATAGCAGAAAAAAAATGACACCTTGAATTTTGCAGGCAAATGGATGGAGCTAGAAAACATCATTTTGAGTGAGGTAACCCAGACACAGAAAGACAATTATGTACACTTACTCCTAAGTGGTTTTTAAACATAAAGCAAAGAAAACCAGCCCACAAATCACAATCCCAGAGAACTTAGATAACAATGAGGACCCTAAGAAAAACATACATAGATCTAATCTACATGGGAAGTAGAAAAAGACAAGATCTCCTGAGTAAGTTGGGAATATGGGGACCTTGAGGGAGGGTTGAAGGGGAGGAGATAGGATGGAAAGCAAGCAGAGAAAAATGTAGAGCTCAATAAAAATCAGTTAAAAAAAAGAAAGTCTGTGCCCTTGGATAATTTTTGACAAAATCTCAAACTATAAATATTTAATCAATAATTGCAAAGAAAAAATAAATTCAGAAAATTCTTTTTTTTCTGTCTCTTGATATGGGCATAAAAACTTATTTTAGTAAAATAGCATGTGGAAGACTGCAGGAGGGAGAGACAGCAATGGTGCATCCCCATGAAGGTATGAAAAACATGGGGGGACAGACCCTGATCAGTGGGGAAGAGAGGATGAGCGACACCGACAGAGAGAATATTGTAGCTGAGGACAAGGGATCAGTCAACAAGGATGCACTAGAGAAGTGGCTTGCTTTCAGTGAAAATGAGTTTAACACAAACCAACAGGGAAGCCATTAAGGGCAACCTAAAATTCATTGAGTCAATAACACCATGGAGAACAGTCTGGCAATAACTTGGCTGTTATCTCTGAACAATCAGAGAGGAAAAAGACTTAGAAAGGACTAAGACTAATAAAACAGGCTCAGAGGTTAAGAGCATTGCCTGCTCTTCCAAAGGTCCTGAGTTCAATTCCCAGCAACCACATAATGGCTCACAACCATCTGTAATGGGGTCTGGTGCCCTCTTCTGGCCTGCAGTCATACACACAGATAGAATATTGTATACATAATAAATAAATAAATATTTAAAAACAACAACAACAACAACAAAAAACAGAGCGTCACCATTTGGAATAGATGATGGAAATAGGAACCTTCCTTAGGGAACACTCAGAGACTTTAGTTAACTAAGGGGTAGAGAGTGAGATCCTGGCTGAACCGTACCAAATATCTTATTCCATATTTTGATGTGCTAGGTGTGTTTGGCTTTGATCACACTGAAGGTAAGCGTTGGTTTATCCGCTGAATTTACATGTTCTCTGAGCACCTGCCACAGGTGGTGTAGGCGATTGGAGATGAGCAGATGAAACAGGAAAGCATGCTTTGCCACGCGTTTTAGATTCTAATAAGGGAAAGAGAAAAATGTAATAAACACATCAACTTAAATAGTTGTGCTAAATAGACTCATCGAAGAAAGTCATAAGTAACATGAAAAAATGATGTAAGTTTAAACGAATGAAGAGTTCCAAATGCCAAATCAATTAAACAGATTGAGATGAGAACTTTAAGGCTGTTGCAGTTGGGAGAAAGTTTTGATCTCAAAACTCTTAAGAACCTCAAAATCAGACAGAGCAAGGTGTTTTTTTTTTTTTTTTTTTTTTTTTTTTTTTTTTTTTTTTTTTTTTTTTTTTTTTCTTTTTCCATACACGGGAGGAGGAAGGTGGAGAAACTGGAGGTTTTCTAGACAGGAAGGTATGCAAGCAGCAGGAGCAGGTGGCCTCGTCAGATTGCTTTAGTGTTTTCCCTTTGCAGGGTGGTCTGCTCCCAGAATAAGCTATTCAGGGAAGATGACTCAGACTTTAGCGGTCTAGTCTGTGTTAAAAGTTAAGGAAAGCCAAATTCTAAGACCCCGACTAAAGTTTGATCAAACAAGAACTGAACAATTATGTCACAGGCAGGCAGTTTGTACATGGTCACAAGGGGAGTCGCTCTCATGTACTGACAATTAAGGTGATCAGGGAAGAGCACAAGAGAAGGAACCTTAACAGTAGAGTTAAAAAGTGAGAAGGCCAAGACCTAAAAGTTTCAAGGAAGCAGAACACGCTGGTTTCAGCACAACAATGTCCCAGGAAGAGGAAGAGGAAGGAAGAGGAAAGGGAAAAGGCCAGTCCAAAACACTGAGGCAGGTGTACTGGTATTTTCAAAAATAAGATGATCGATTCTGCTTTCCAGAGCTTCCCCCAATGAAGCCTGCCATTTAACCTGGTTCTTTGCTATGTTATTTTGCTACATCCTCATGAGAAGCTATAATTGGTTTCTCTATACATTCAAATCTTTCAAGGTGTTAGGCTTGCTTTTGTCAGTATAATGAAGCGTAAGTATTGCTTTGGCAGCCATTTCTGGGTGTACACCTTAAGTTGGTCTGGTTACTTCTACCACCTGTCCCCTGTAACACTTCTCTTGGAATACTGACTCTCAGAATAAGGGATTTTGTAGTCACTCTACTCTGATAATCTAAAGACAAGCAGAGAAGCCACTGCTGAGCTTTTGTTCGCAGCTCCAGCCAGGCTTTCAGAATAAATTGTGAGGCTGGGGAGTGAGCCACTTTAGATAGAAAACCTAGGAGCCTTTGGACATCTGAAGACTCAGCTGATGCTGGGCTGCAATCACACAAGAACCTTGAGTGAAAGGTGAAACTGGGGTTGGGGCTATAGCTCAGAGACAGAGTGTTTACCTACGAGAGTCCCTGTGTTTAGAGCTCAGATACCACAAAATAAAGAAACAAACAGTCCACCAGAAGTCAGTTCACGCATAGAAGCAGATACAAAACACTAAACTTTTATTGTTAAGAAATTAATTTTGAAGCAGATAGGTATGGAGGGATAGATAACTATAATAAATAATCAGCAAATGAGTTTGAGACAAATGAACAAGGGAAAAAGCTCATGGTAAGTGGCAAAGAATGTAATAGGAGGTGCAGTTTCAAGGAGAAAGCTTGGGATATACTCATGTAGCAGACACTGACTGTGGAATTCCAGTGGAAAAACTAAGTTATAGGACAACATAGTATTGGAGTTACTAAATGTGTCAGGATTGAAGATGTGAACAAAAGAATCAGCAGTACGTGGGTTTTCAGTCCATGAATGAATGAGATCATATAGGCAAACTAGTGTCCTTGGAAGAGAAGAGTTATGTGGGATTCCCTTCTATATATGTGTGACTTTTATTGGTTAATGAATAAAGAAGCTACTTGGGCCTATAGCAGTGCAGAATATAGCCAGGCTGGAAGAGATATAGAGAGAAAGTAGGCAGAGTCAAAGAGACACCATGTAGCTGCCAGAAGGGAAAGATGCCTGCCGGAGCCTGCCAGAAACTTGCCCGTAGGCCATGACCTCGTGGTAATACACAGATGAATAGAAATGGGTTAATACAAGATATAAGAGTTAACTAATAAGAAACCTGAGCTAATAGGCTAATCAGTGTTGTAATCGATAGAGTTTCAATGTGATTATTTTGGATCTGGGAGGCCAGAAACAAACAAGCAGTCTCTTGACAACAGAGGAGGACCAGTGTCTTCTTAATCAGAATGTAGCAGAAGGCTGTTCTTCAGTATTCCAATGTGTGAGGCGGAGAAAGGACAACAGGTAGGCAAGAAGTAACAATAAAAGACTAAAATGGGAAACTGGGTGGATGTGGGACTTCTAGGGAAGTGTTTGGAGGAGGAACAAGCTTGTGGATTAAATACTGTTGAGAGGTCAGTTAGATCAAGAGCTGAAACTAACCTCTGTATTCAAAATTGTGGTCTCAGCTCCCCCAACCTAATCTTTCCTGGTCCTCCAATAAGCAATACAATTAAGTGTTTACTATGCGTCAGGTACTTCCTAAGCCTTGGGGGACAGTAAAGCCAAA